ATTTTTTAAATAAAATTTTAATAATAATAAAAAAATAGCATAAACGTTTTTCTTGAAAAAAATTCTTGGTAATAAAAGAATTCAAATGAAAAAATATAAATTATGCACATTTTTTAAAATATCAAAAAAATTCATAAAACAGCCAACATTTTTATGGATTTCTCCACATACTTTGGTAAAAACATTATTTTTTTATTTAAATTCAATTCAGGGAAAGTGTTAATAGACACTCTCATCACTTTTGTTCCAACAAATCCGGAAAATTCCAGTAAATTAATTACAAGAATCAATCTTAATTTAATTGAGTGGCGGATTGAACTCCAAGCGCCATCTTTTACACAAAGACTTACCTAGCACATATCCCAGGAATACTCCTACAGTAATCTGTACTTGAAAAAAAGTCCCTAAAGTACCCCTAATCGATGTATGTGCTATTTCAGTCACATACATGGGGGCGGCGACACTTATCGCCCCTATTGCCAATCCTGCTAGAAACCTTGCAGCGTATAAAGCCCCAACACAATTCCTGCAATTTTTCATTCAACAAACAAACAATTGTAAAGTTACAATTACCAACCCATAGGCTATAATCATCCACGAGATAAATAAAGGTAGGGCAAAAAATAATAAACTTCGTTTCCGTCCTATAAAATTGGCTACAGTTCCTGCAGGAATAGCCCCACAAAAAGCCCCCAAAGTTAGCAATGAACCAATCCAAGCACCTTGATTTTTCGTAATTGGTGGGTAAGTTGTGGCTTCTTCGAGCATAGGAAGGGCCGGGGAAGTCCACGTGAGACACAATCCCATTGCAAGAGCACTTAGTGTTGCTAAATAATCAATGACGCACGAAATTTGCGCATTTAAGATAACTCACCTAATGTTGAGGCGACGAATTGGAGTATTTTTCGTGGTTCATTTTGTGTTTTTTCTGTGGTGATTGTTAAGTAATTTGGAGGATTGTCACTTTGTAAAACTTGTACCATAATTAAATAAATAAATAAAGATGTTGGTGGTGATGCGTGTAATCTTCGAATCAGTGACTTTTTGATGCTGCTTTATATAAGTTTGAAAGGGGTGACCTCAGGGGTCAAGTGATAACAGTTTGGTATTATCGCAAAGCGAGTCCCTGGTTAAAATTGTATGAACTTTGGGTTTTTTTGATGTCTGGGGCGCCAGAAATTTCCAATTGAAACGCTTGTTTATTATTTTTTACACAAAAATGTATTTTACTTTGCTACCATACAGGGTGTGTCAGAACTCGCCTCCCAGAGAAAAATTTCAAGTAAGACAAGATACCAAGAACATGGAAAAAATGACCACATATTGAAAAATCTGTTGCAAAACTATGATCCCTATTTCATTTCAAACCACAGAAGACTACTTATAAAAGTAAAGAAATAAAAAACACATAAAGAAATGTATACCGTGTCAGAAATCGCTCTCCAGAGAAACTCAAACATTTTGAGAAACTTTGTTAAAACAAGACAAAAATTTACAAAATTTGGCTTATAAATACTTTATTTACAATTTCAGAGCGTTTTTTACCTAAAAACAAAGTAGAAAATTGCAAAATTAGACTTTGAAATGCAATATTTTTGATGATTTTAAAGTCTAGAAGCCTAAAATGTTAATTTATTTTGGAAAATCTCACTCACTGAATTTGAAATATTCTATCAAAACAGAATATGAAATTGCAATTTTTGTCTTATTTTGTATCAATTTAAGTGTACCTATAACAAAAGATTTTGCCAAAACAATAACCAATGTCTTATTTTTTATTGTTTTTATAAATAGCAATACACAGTTGTAGAATTTAAGGAATTAAAAAAATACTAAAATAAAAAAGAAAATTACAAAATTAGATCTGAAAA